CACGGCACGTAGCGCACGTGGAGGGCGGCTCCCTGCCCTGCGCCCGCCGCGGCCTCCCGCCTCTTTCCGGGACGCACGGGGTGGGTGTTGCGCCTCCCCTCCATCCGGCCGACCCCGCTTCTCTGCGCCGGCCTCACGCGGCCTCCCTACCTACACCACTCGTCACCTCCCAGCCCAGTTGGACCTCCTTTCTCCTCTCCATTCCCCCAGTTTTCCCAAAGACCTCTTGACAGTCCACCTCAGCTCCTCCCTCCAGCTCATTGCTGTTATCTCGCCACCGTTTTGGGGGCCCTGGAATGTTTGGTGTCAGATGTACCCTGTGGAAACGCATAGACCCTGAAATTTCAGGATGAGCTGCCTCCTTGGTGGCACCCCTCTTTTACTTTATTTTATTTACTTTGTGCACTCCCAGGACGTCTCTATTACTGCACCTTTAACTCGGTATTTGTCTGTTCACATTGTCCCTGCCCTCTTCCCTGAGCAGGCCTCTCCACCAGATTGTAAGATGCTGGAGGGAAGGAGGCAGAGTCTCCAGCTCGGGGACTGGGTAGAAGCTTCACGCATTTGTTGGACAGGAAATGGCCTTTGGTGTCTGCGGCTCCGTCTGGCCGAGGATGGAGTTTTGGACCATGCAAAGAGAAGAATCTGGCTGCCCAGGTGAAGCAGGAAGAAATCTCACAACAGACCGGTCTGCCGGGGGTGGGGGGACCCGGGGCGGGGGGGAGTTTCCTTTGTGAGATGAGCCCCTGTCATTCCCCATACCTTTGCCCTGCTCGGTTCCCTGGAACCAGCAACTCCTCCAGCTCTGCTGGATGATCTCTGGTGGGACTTGTGCTCCCTGTTCTGCCCCACGCCCAGCTCCGGGGCTGCCCTGCGGATCAGTTCACACCGTGACCGAGGTCTTCTCTCGGGACTTCTGTCCCTGGGAAGCTGGGTCTGGGTCCTGGGGAGACACTTGGTAACTCAATACCTCTTCTTGCTGCCCATCTCACCCTCTCCAGTCCTGGGACCCCTTCTCTGCTGACTCAGCCCAAAGGGACCCAGGGTTCAGGACTTGGATTTACCTGGGTGTGTGGGGCCCCTCCTCAGGGAGCCTCCTTTCCAGCACAGCCAGCCCTGCCCGCAGGGGTAGGGAGTGGCAGCGTCACCCACACTCACTTTGGGTGTTTTCCTCCCATTCAGGTTGGGCCACTTTGGAGGCTCTGGACTCTGCTGAGGGATGCCAAGAGGCAGAGAAGAGAACTCAGGTGCCCTGTTCACCCTGTAGCAGCCACCATCACCCCTAAGGTCTCTGCACTAAGGAACCCCTCTCTGCAGCTCTAGGGCCTTGGATGGTTGGAATGTTTGGAATTCTCTTTGTCAATGGTGCAAGTCTTCCAAGAGGAATAAAATTTCTATGTAATTATATCAGAATTTCACAGAGCACTCCCAGATCCACCATGGTCAGCAAGTCCTGTTGAGTGTACAGCACAGGGTCTGACAAGAACCCTAATGCCAGCTCCCTTCTTCTCTCCCCTGGCAGGCAGGATGATGTGTGAGCACTTGGAAATACTGCACTGTGGGAAAAAGATGGGGCCAGAGGCTGGGAGACATTCAGTCTGTTGGATGTATTAGTGCTGTGAAGTAGATGAGTAATGTCACCACTTTTCAGTTGGAGAAGCTGAGACTCAGAAAAGTTTATCAACAAAAGTTACACAGATAATAAATCTTAGTGCCTTTGATCTTCCCTGAACAGCAAGCTTTAGAAAAGCTTCCCTTTTCTAAAGCTGAGGGAAGAGGACATGGGAGCCCCATCCCAAATCTGCCCACCAGCTGGCCCTTCTCTCCCTGCTGAGCCACACTGCTCTCACACTTTGGGGACTGTCATCTATAGTGCATTTGCTCACATACTAACACTATCACAAAACAATACTTGCGCTTATACAGTGATGCACTACATGCTGCTGAGACCCACGAAGTTGGTTTTGTAACCCATTGTGGATTGTGACCCTCAACTGGAAAAGTGCTGCTTGGAGCGTTCCTGATGTTTGGCAGCTTTCAACAAGAGGTGGATCAAGTAGTGAGTTCTGTCAGATCCACCTAACCCTGAATCTCAGCCACTGCTCCTTCCCCTCCTTGTTTTCTCTAAGTCCTCCAGAGCACTGTCCATGCCGTATACAACTCGACCGTATTTCTTATCTCTTCAGTTTGTTTTTCCACTGTTTATTATTCACTTGTCTGAAATCTATTCATTTCCCTCCTACCCCTGTCCACAGCCATCCAACTCCAGGGATTGCTTTTGCCCCGTCTTTTCAGCACCTTGTCACACGTGAGTGCCCAATGTAAGACCAGGACCTAGCAGAGTCTTCAAGTCTCCAAAGAGCTGACTTGGAGCACAGGTCAAGACCCAAATGCCTACAGGGACAGGGAAAAATGAGAGAAGCCAGCCAGATGGACCCACAGGGAGGGCACATGTTCAGTTCCTGGGGCCACTGCTGTATGCCAGGGTGACAGCAAGTTGCCATTTTTCAAGAGAAGCCAAAAGTTTTTATACAAGCCCTCTGAATTTTTAAATGTTCAATCTTCAGTTGAATTTTTAAAAAACAGTGGGTGGGCCAACCAAACGTGCTGGTGGTCAGACAGTTCTGGGTGGGGCCGCCTCCCTTGCGAGGCTAGTGGGATGATGAGTTTGCTGACTTGCAGAAAGAACACTGATTACCCAAGGAGCTCTAGCTGAAGCACCCAGAGCAAGTGCTGGAGGGATGGAGGTGAGCGTCTGCCCATCTTCCCCCACCCCCAAGGGTCGAGTTCACGCTTCTAGGAGAACTCTCTCGTCAGCGAAGTTCGGAGTCCACATCCAGGACATGCCGTGGCAGGAGCACAGTGTCACAGGTGGCTTACCCCAAAATGCACCATTGATGAGGAACCTGAGGTGTCATGGTTTTTTAAATATTTATTTTCATTTTAAATTAACTATACTTAAATTAAAAAAAATATATTTTCCCCTTTTCCTCTATTGCTTGCCACTAAAGCCCTCAGAGAAGTGGGAATCAGATGCCAAGACAGGGATAAGTTCTCAAAGTGCTGTGCATCTGTGTAAGAACCTAAAAGTAGCGGGGAGGAATAGCTCAAGTGGTAGAGCACGGTGCTTAGCAAGCATGAGGTCCTGGGTTCAATCCCCTGTACCTCCTCTCAGAATAATAAATCTAATTACTGTCCCCCCACCAAAAAAAAAAAAAGAACCAAAAAGTAAAAATTTGGGTGAGGGTTTATGAATAGGGGGAGATGGACCTCTCTCCTATGAGGGAAAAGAAGGCAGGGCGAGTCTCCATGTTTGAAAAACACTCATCACTCCTGATAGCGAAAGTGCTAACGCCTACCAAGTACTCCAGTGCTCGCTGTGTGCTGGGCATGTTTGTGCGGGTGAGCTCTTAATCCTCAGGACGCTGGATGTCATGTACCTTCATCCTCATTTTCTAGATGAGGAACTGGGGTTCAGAGACAGTCATCTGGCCAAGCTCTGGTGGCCAGTAAGTTTAGCAGAACCAGATTCTGGCCCAAGTCTGAGTCCAGAACCTGAGCTCTGGATCATCACCCATGTGGTGCCTTCTCTGTGTGCTGCCCAGTCCTCCTGGCACTGCTGTGCCCTGGCATCCTGCATCGTGTTTGTTGAAGAAATAGTGACCACTCACCGTATCACATAATCCCGATAACTAATGAGTCAGGACACACTTGCCAAGCTGTTCTCTGGGCAGGAGCTGTGCCAGGTGCTATGGCATCGAGTGAAACAGAGGCCTTGCCTTCGGGGCGACTTTGGCCATGGTGACCTGAGGCTGGAGAAGGAATATATGAGCTCCGACGTGAGTGATGGAAGGAGGAGGCTTGTGGAAAGTCTACAGAGGCGAGTTCTAAGAAAAGGAGAGCACATGCAAAGACCTGAGATAAGGAACAGCTTGGTTTGTCTGAGGGATGCTCTCTCCCAGAAAAAGCAGGGCAGGGTAGGGGGCAGGAGATGAAGTCAAAGAGGCAGACAGATGACCGGGTCAGACCCGTGGGCCGTGGTCTGGGGTTTGGGAAGGGGTATATTTGATCCGCCACGTTAAAGGCCTCTCTGCCGTGTGGAGGACAAGGGTGGAGGTGAGGGACCAATTAGGTGGTTGCAGTGCTTCAGGCAGAAGGTGATGGTGGCGTGGACTCGGGATGAAGCAGCAGGGATGGTGAGGAAGGCTCCTATTCCCCATACATTTTGGAGGAAAAGGTCACAGGACTTAATCGATTGAACAGGGAGTGTTAAGAGGATGGTGGTGCTTTTTACTGAGGTGGAGAAAACTTGGGGAGGTAGCAAGATTCTGTAGTTCTCTTTTGACTCTTTTAAGATTAAGATACCTCTTATTCACCCAAGTGGAGATGTTGAATAGTCAGGTAGTCTGGAGTCGGGTAGTCTGGAGCTCGGGATAGAGATCAGGGCTGGAGATAAGATCAGCCCTAGGGTTATCTGTGTGTGTGTGTGTGTGTACACTGTGCATGAAACTGTGTCGAAAGATACACACACGCATTAGAGTATTACACATACGCATATGTCTGTATGCATGCACACACATACACTCCTATGTAACGCATATAGCACTTAAAGCCATGAGACTGGGTCAGAGTCCTGGGACCCTTGACATTCACTGTTTGGGAAGAGGGTGACCAAGGAAAGAACCTGAGAAGGAATGGCTGGGGATGGGGGGAAGAGCCGTGTTGGGGAGAGGGTCTGGAGGAGGAGGCAGCAGTCAGCCTTGTCAAAAGCTGCAGAGAAGTTGGTCAGGTGGCGAGAGGAAATGTGAAATTAATAACGAGTTTGCTGTGTGGGGCTGAGGGGATGGAACAGAATTTGGCGTGGATGTGAATTTGAGGGGGGAGGTGTGCTTTTTGCTCTTTTACCCACTGGAAGTTAGTGGAGGTCCTTTTTCCAGTGACGGGAATGTCCAGGAGGGTGAGAGGAGTGGGTGCATCACAGAAGAGAAAAAGGGTGATGGCAGGGGTGATGGGTCTGAAGAGGTGAGAGGTTTGCAGGTTAGGAGCCAGCCCCCCCCACCACCAACCGCCGTAGCTCAGAGGAGTGGTGAAGGGTGGGTCCTTGCTTTTCAGGTGAGCACCACCCACAGGGATGTCCTGAGCAGGTGTACCTCTGATGATGGTGTAGGTGGTGAGGACACAGAGCAACATCACAGAGGGAGCTTAGCTCAAGGCTGGAGAACTTGGCGGGGTGGGGGCAGGGCTCAGATTGCCTTTCCAGGCTCACCACCCCCGCTGCCCAGGGAGACTGATCCTCGGAGGCCCAGTTCCTCTTTCTCTCCCTCCTCCTCTTCCAGGAGCCTGTGGAACTCAGAAGGCTAGTGAGGGCAGTGCTCCTGGTGAGACAGACAGGGAAGCCATGAGGGAGGGGCAGAGGGGACAGGGCTGTTCCTTGAGGGTGAGGTCCTCTAGCCCCGATTGTAAAGCCTTTTATTCAGTGTGCATATCCACACGTTTATGTTCCAGAGAAGAGAAGCCTACTTCTGTTGCATGTAGTGGTTTGTGTCTGAATCACCTACCTGATTTAAAAGTCCTGGCTTAAGGAAACCAGATAAAAAAAGTTTAAGCCTTACTACCATCTATAAGTGTAAGTCCCATCAAAAAGCTAAATGGTAAAGGGAGAGAAGCTTACTAACCTCTACCAAAAATACTGGAGTGGCTGGGAACCAGGAAGATGGGGAGACGAGAGAATACGGTAGCCTCAGGAGCATAGAAATCACTGGCCACGATTTCTTTTCTTTCGGGCACTGACTATGCAGAGAAAGAGTTGAGAGTGGAAGCAAAGGTACCTTACAGTCTGTCCTCTGCTCATTTAGAAACAGTCAGAAAAATGCCTTCTCACTGGAGAAAAGACACTAACAGGAAAGAGCAGCACACAGGTGCTTCTGAGGCTGAGCCCGCCTGAGTTCCAGCAGTCTAACACTCACAAACAGGTTTTTTTTTTTAAACTCTAAATTAACAGAATCCTGTTCCACTCAAGGTCTGTGAATAAGACTAAGGATTGGAATAAATCAAGGATATCTTTTACAAAAAGTAAGAAAGTCACCAAATTGCTTTGCACTTAGCAACACTTCAAGTTCAGCTATTTTAGTAAATAGTTTGACTTTTGTTTAGAAAAGCAGGGGGGTGGTGACCATCTGTTTTCTCAGATAAAGGAGTCTCATCACTGAAGCCCTGGGCAGACCCTTATCACTTTGGGGAAGTTCACTCTCCAGACAAACCTATAAAGAGAAGGCAGCAAAGGTCGCAGGGCAGGTGGCCCTCCCTCCTCAGGCAGGGAATCAGGCTCCATCCAGCTCAGACAGAAAGGCAAGTTAGGAAGTCAGTTCACACCAGTGAGAGGAAGGGTGGATATGGGGTGTGAGGGG